GAATAAGGGAAGTAAAGGAAATTTCCAAACAAAGAATGGTGTGTGTGTAAACCCAGAGATGGTGGTGCGTGTGGCCCTTGGGCACAACTGAGACATAGCGGAACAGGAGAGAGAAGAGAGTAGATGGGAGCCCGAGGCCACCTGGCCTTGTACACCTGTAAAGATTTGGGACATGATAAAGAATTGGAGTGTTTTTAAGCAGGTGACTGACAATTAATTTAGGGGTTTTAAAACTCAAATATCTTACACTGAAAACAAATGTAAAAAATAATATAACCAATGATTTCAGTGTCATCAAATTCTTGTTGAGTATGCACAGGCTAAACACATCAGGAATGTTCTATAGGAATGGAAAAAGGGGCCAAAGCAGAGCCCAAATATTTCATGTGTGTTGTCAGTAAATAACTAAATAATCCTAATCCCTCAAGAATTAAAGCATCCGTGCTAAAATCAGAGAGGCAGCCTGATAAATGGGAGAGTGCTTGTGTCACGGTGCTTCTGCCTGTTTTACGGATCACATATAAATACGGGCGGCAGCAGTGCCGACACTGGCAGGCATAAACTGAAAAGTAGCAAAATATTTTAGAAATAGGGCAGAGAAATAAATACTTGAGGTCACTCATTAGCCAGGTTAATAAAGAAATGCTCCCCAAATCTGATGATAGTGCCCAAAGAGAAGGATTACATAACAGATGTGTTGGAATGATGGTAAACAAATACCATACTAAAAAATCAGACACTTGGGCGTATTTAATTTGGACACGTGCTAACTGTCAATACAATGCCTTCAAGGAATGAGCATAACAAAGAACCTAATAAATTAATGTGAGGCTCCTTGCTTTATGTAAATGTAAGATCAATAGTAAAAACAGAATATAAAGGGGAAGAAGGGGCAAAACCTCCAGTGACAGCAGAACTTAATATGGTTACTGATGCTTGTTTCAGTGTGTGTCTATGCAGATCACTAATTCACATACAGCTCCTGGTAAAGCATTAAATTTGTTTTCTGTGGCATGGTCTGATTCTCTAAGAACCTGAAGAGTTTCTTTGAGAGAGAAGTAGCAGCCCAGTCTAGCTCAGCTGTACTCAATCTCAGTTGCTTCCCTACCTACAAACCCTCACTTCAAAGCAAGGAACATAATGTACAATTTTTTAATGGCTCTAGACCCAGGCACTCAGACTCTCTGCTCTGCGCCTTACCTCAGTGTAAACACCTAATCAAGATTGCCTGCGCTTCAACAATAGCAGCCAAATGCAATTCGAGAACCACAAGCCTTTGAAGTCCTCCCTGCAAAGGCCGGTTTTCTAGTCTGGGATAATGACATGCCATGATTGCTGTCTTTGTTGTATCTTTTCAGTAGAGAAGCAATTATAGGCCCCAATTTAACAGAATAGACATTACACAGCTTATGATGCTCAAAATGCAATTTCATTTGATCATTTTCTCGATTTGATTGGTATTAATAGAATGGTTCACAAAAAAAAAAAAAATAGCTGGCAGAGGTTGTGTCCCATTCCACTTTCAAAGAGATAATGTAGAAGTATTCTTTACTTGCCCGGTGAGTCTCGCTGGGGTGATTCAGCCACTGAGTTCCACCAAAAGAGCCTGTGGAAGGGAATATTGCACATCCTTCCTTCTCTGGGAAAGGAAGCAGCAGACTCAGTGTTTTTAACATGTAAACTTTTCATCAGAACCACATCAGAGAGCCCATCATTGTCTATAGAGCAATTAAATATCCCAGTGATAAGCTGAAAGAACTAAACCCAAGTCCCCTTTATTTCTTAGGCATTTACACAAATGGGTGAATTGGCATCCTAGTGACAGATCTGTGGAACTGTTCAGCTTCTTGCTCACAGCTTCCAGAGATAGTTCACTGCCACTTGAGGTTGGAGAAGGATTACTTTCTCACCAACTTAGTCAGCCTGGTTAGATTTTTTTTTTTACTCTCTTGACCTTCATTTCTCTCCAGGACACAGTTGATTTTTCTTTCTTAAATGAGTGAACTTTCTATTTAACATTGTGGTACTAATAGATCAAAACCTTTGTAAAAGCACCAGCAAATGTTGTAAAAACTAACCTTTTCCTGTCATTGGGTATTTCTGAACTAGCACTGTGAGAAGGACCAAGATGGAAACTTAAGAAATGGTACCTGACCTTGAGCGGTAGCATTTATTGTCCTAAACTTTTTGTTTCAGTGCAAATTAAACTTTTTCTTGATGTGAGGTTTCCCATTTACAGAGGAAGTTAATCACTGAAACCAATACTTACATATAAATGGTAAATAGATAAAGGCTGGTGATGGTGTAGATTTTTAAATACCGAGAGGTTGATAAAAAGTGGGAAGAATAAGAAGAAAACATTTTACTTTCACTTTTAATCAGAATTCCATGACCAAATAGTACATTTTTGTGGCCTATTTTAGGAATGAAAATTCAAGGAAAAACTATTTTTTCCCCACTTTCAGATCTACCGTTAAGCTTCTAAGCATCCACAGCGCCGAGTCACCTTACCTATTTACAGCGTGTATGTAAGTACAGTAATTGTGATAGCTATTTAATAGTAGAGAGAGTTTAGGGACAGATAAGGTGACACTCCGCAGAAATAAGATGTTGTCCCTTGTGCCACAGAGGCCACATAGAGTGGTCAGGAATGAGGTTATCTTCATTGACAAATATTTACTTTGATTTAATATTTAACAAATACTTTTTACCTCTTTCTTTATTGAGTGCTGTACTTTGTAAGCATGAGGTGAAAGTAAGCTGTAGGGAGGAAATTTTAACACAAGGCTGACAGACTCCATACCCCATGCCCTTTCCAGTCTCACTGCTGGCCACTTGTCACACTAGGCAGTCCAGCAGAGGAAATGTAACAGAAAAATGTCAAAGCATGGAGCCAAACTTAAGGATTAATTAATTACCTCAGTCCAGAAAAGCAGAGACTTGACAGCATTTACAGGCAAAGAACCAGAGAATGGCCACTCTGTGCTTCTCCAAAGAACAGAGGGACAGAAAATACGGAAAGATGTATTTCTGCTTGTGTAAGGAAGAGCCGGCGTTTGAGTTGCTCAGTGATGGGTTTGGGTTGCACAGTGAATACTGTGTTCATCTTGAATGAAGCAGAGGTCCCTTTCTCTTCCTCAACCCATGGTTGGTTGATTTTTAAACATGTCCTAGTCATGAAAAGTGGGTAATTCCCTCCAGGAGATAAGGCATGTATTGAGGCAGAAAGTGGATGACATCTACCAGGGTTGGTGCGGTGGCCTGTGTCTATAGTCCCAACTATTCAGGCAGCTGAAGCGGAAGGATCATTTTGAGCCCATGAGTTCAAGACCAGCCTGGGCAACACAGAAAGGCCTCATCTCAAAAAAAGAAAGAAAAGGAAAAAGTTTGCTTTCTGAACTATATTCTTGATGGCTAGAATTTATAAACACAAAGCCTTTTTTCTTATTTTAAAATAAGTAGCCAATGGAGGCAACAAAGGGCCCATCATTGAATAATTTGGGATCCGAAACCCCATGTGTCTGCCTTGCATCAGTTATTCCTAAGTCTGACTGCAAATTAGACAAATTTTCAGACCATTTCTTACTTTTTAAAATAACACATAGGGAACTTTAGAAATACACTGCTATCTGGAGCAACCCCCCAAAACTTCCAGGTTAACTGGCTTGTGGGGGGACTAGGGCATTAGTAATTTTTAAACACTCCCTTGGTTTTCCTAATATCTAACTAAAGTTGACTTTAGAGACCACTGATCCACATCATTCAAATTCACTAAGTGGCAGAAGTACAAATTCTGCAGGTCTGGGAGGATATCTCTAATGAGTAAGTTAGCAAGTAATGCAAGTAAATGCAAGCTCTGGAATTAGGTAACCTGGCTGTTCTCCTTACTAGTTGTTGATCCTGGGCTATTTATTCAATCTCTCTGTACCTTAGTTTACTAATTTTCAAAAATTAGAGTAATAATAGTATATACCTGCCAGGGATGATGATACACACCTGTAATCCTAGCAACTCAGGAGGCTGAGTCAGGAGGGTCTCAAGTAATAGGCTAGCCTGGGAAAACTAGCAAGTCCCCATCTCAAAATAAACAATAAAAATTAGTGAGTATGCATGGCACTTGCCTAGCATGTATAGAGCCCCCTGGGTTCAATCCCCAGTACCGCAAAAATAATAATTATAGTATTTGTCTGATAAGGTTGTTACAAGGAATAAATACATCCTATGTTAAAGGCTTAGGACAACTGCTGCCATACCATGAGCATTCTGTTGTTTTGTTAGATATTGTTATTTCTGTTGCTGTTGTCATCATTTTGGGAGTACAGATGTCCTGACAAAATTTATGATAGTGCAAAAGTATATGCTTACAGCTATTCTGTATTTTACTTTCAGTACAGTATTCCAAAAATTAGAAGAGATATACCAAAAACTACATGAGATATTCAACCCTTTATTGTAACATGGGCTTTGTTAGGTGATTTGACTCATCTGTAGGCTAATGTAAGTGTTCTGAGCATACTTAGAGGTAGATGAAACTGAACTCTGATGTTCAGTAGGTGAGGTACAATAAATGCATTTTCAATTTATGACAGGTTTTCGGAACACAACCACATTTTAAGTCAAGGAGCATCTGTGTAGTATTATTTCATCACAGTTCTGTTGATATGATCAAATGTTCCTTGCCAGTACCCTCTTCATGTATCTAGTCTAAAATTGGGTTTCCTGAGTATGCATGGCGTTTAAAGTAAAGGAGTAGTTTGACCTCAGAACACCAGTTTTCCCTCAATGCCTGCAAGAGAAAACATTTCCCTCAATGCCTGCAAGATTATTCCCATTTTTCTTGGGAATTATCCAGGTCCCTGAAAACTACAGAGGAATCCTTGAAATTAACTGAAAATAAAAAATCCAGCCCTGTCAGACCCTTCTAGAATGCACAGACGTGAGTCTCTTGACTAAACTAAAATGAACCCAGTTAACATGCTATGTATGTTTTACTCTCTCAGATCTACTACCCCATCAGAGTAACTGGCAAGACGTCTGTTCAGAATGCCAAAGAGATGGAAAATGCTGCCATCGATCCTGAGGACAAGTGGCATCAAAGAGCACAACAGTTAAAGGTTACTAACTAGATAGCATGTTAAGTGTGTTTCATGTGATACTACTGAATATAAGTCATGCTTTCACTGAGTTCTTGGGGGGATTTATTTTTTGCCTGAGAGTAGTTAGTTCACCACCATCCTTTATGGGGGAGACTGATGTGCCATTGGTTGGTCAGGCAGCCACCCCTACCTGTTTTACCAAAGGTTCTTTTTCTCAGATGATCATCCTATCACTCTTTAAACAGAGCCAAAGCTCTCACAGAAGGAAGTGCAGGGGGAAATGCAGAAAAATCAGGAAATCATGGTTCCAAAGTGTTGTCCAGTTCTGTGCTACCCCTTTATCTGGTTCCTTTGGGAGTTGGAAGTCACCCATTATCCCTAGGTGACTGGGTGCATGGGAGTCTTCAGAACCTTATAAACCCTCTTTTGCAGAATGTGAAAGCTTACCAGCTGGTAATTTATCATGTGGACAACTTTTTAGGCCATGGGTTTTGTTGTCAGTGTGCTATGTCACTAACAGACCAAATATGTTTGTGACTGTCCACAATGTCAGAATTCATTGAATAACAATTCACAGGCTGCACCACTCTCATCAGTGGCAGTTCACTGAATATTTGTGGGTCACCTGGTAGTCATAAGCCAGTCAATCACAGATTCTTTTTTTCCAGCCAATTCCAATTATAGATAATTTCTAATATCTATAATAACCAAGTCATATATATATATATATATATATATATATATATATATATGTTATGGAAAGGATTAGAAAGGATTAAGGCAGACACAGGCATTTAGAAGGCTAAACTAAGGGCAAAGAAAACATTGTTTATTCCCAAAGAGTCACTGTAGGTGGTCAGATAAGATTACAAACCAGCCAGAGAACTTGTTCAAGGTGCAGAGCTGTCAAAACACAGAAGCCTACTCAGATGGACAGCAGTTTCACAGTGTCAGCTTAAGATGTCAGCTTCTAGTGGGACTTGCATGGTCATCCCAAGCAGGAGAAACCACACTGTGCTAAAGTCCAAGGACAGAGATTCAGAGGTTGTTGCTGTGGCAGTTTTCTTGGGCAAGGCTCATGACAAGCGACTAGGTGAAGGGATCAGAGTGCACCATTCTCAGGGTGCTCCTCCTTTTATGAGTGTCAAGGGAGGGCATTGCATCATCTAGTGACCTGGTGTGTCCAATAGGCTTGTTTTTCCAATGAGTTTTATATGCCCATGCATCCATGTGCTGCTGACTAATTTGATAAGATCACACGTGGTCATTCTCATTAGCATGAATTTATCAGTTTATGCCTTATCAGTTTATGCTAGGCAGGTGGTGGCTATTCACTTTTGCAAACAAGGTATAGAATCATTCCACCTCAGCACTTAAACTCAAAATGGAGTAGCTTTTATGGCAAACTATTGCTTTACAAAACAGAGTAGCAAAGGTTTTGGCACAGCCTGAAAAGTGCTGTCCTGTACATCATGGAGTAACTCAGAGCAGGGCACACCTCTGCTTTGAATCCATAAATGTGATTTGTGGGAAGATTTTTTTTTTTTTGCAGTTTTCCACACTGACTATTTCTTGAGAATAAACAGAAAAAGCAGTAACAGCTGATTTTTTTTTTTCCTGAACCAGCTTATGGAATTATGTGGAGTCACTGTTGGATCAGGTTTTATCCCCAATTAAGAAGGGATGAGCCCTTTGAAATCATGGAGCCTATGAAGCATATCAACATCATCAGATAAAACCATGTATGTAGTAATGGTAATAATAAAGATAATAAAGTTCATCCCAGCCTCAAAGAAGTTAGAAAAGAGGAGCAGCCTAAGTCATGTCTTTTTCTCCCTGTGGACTCCAAGCTGTTCTTAAAGATGTGAATCAACCCATCAAGCAGTCAGTCAAACAATAGGTTTCCCAGAGCTTTCTGATGCCAGGGGGCCATACCCAGAAGTTGAGAGCTTGGGGACTGACTGTCTCCTGCAGTGAGATGGGGGTCCATGGATCTACCCAACATCCCTGATATAGAGCGAGCCAAGGGAGCATGACCAGCAGGATCCAGGAAACCAAGGCAGCACAAAAGGCATGTCCTGCATTATGGGCAGTGGACTGGGTCAGAGATTTCTGGTCCTTGACCTGTCATTTACTGGATGTATAATTTGGGGGCAAAACTCAACTTTCACTGGAAGCCTTGTTTTTTTCATTGTGAAATGAAGAGTTGGAATAAATGACCTTTATGGTCCATTTCAGCTACAAAATGCTATGATTCTGAGACCACTGATTTCTAGTTATTTAAATTATTATAGAAAACATTTTTGAAGTATTGAAGATTATTGCAACACATAGCTTTCATAATTGTCACTAGGGAAAATGGTAGGATTCTCTGCCAACAATAAAATCATCTAGGTAAAATGAGAGTGCTTAAATCATGGCACAACTCTAGACAGAAGCAGGAAAAAGCTTTGTGTGGAAGCCTGTCGGAAGAAAGCCAGACAACGCTTTCTGTTCTCGGTGTACACTATGATTAATATGTTCACAACCTACTCTTGGACGAAGACAAAGTAGAGCAAAACGTCGAAAGATTGTTAGAAATAAAATGACGGTGACACAGAGTGGCCCAAGGGAAGTTGCCCTTTCTGCATTTAGAAAGGTCTGTTACAGCACTCTGCATCTTGCATGCTGGCTGGCCTTTCTCTTTCCTCTTCGACTATCCAAGTTCAGTGCCTTCGTTTTTGTCCTCCCTCAAATGTCCTTCAAGGCCTCCCAGCTCCCCTACCCACTCCTCTGCCCACCTTGGCTCCTCTGGAGCTTGTTGTCTATACTGCTTACTCAGGGTGTTCATGCTTGCCATGTCTTGTACCTGTTGCCTGCTTTCTTTTACCTACCATACTAGAAGCTTCTTATTTTCTGAGTTTATTTTGTCTTTTTTCAGGGGAATGGAGTGGGGGGAGGGACTGCAGATCAAACCCAGGGTTTGGGGCATGCAAGGCAAGTAATTTACCACTGAGCTACATCCCAACCCTAGAAGCTCCTTAAAGGTTAGGATTATATATCTTCCTTTGTGTCCCCTATGACAAGGCTTCCTCCAAAGCTGGTGCTCAATAAAAATTTACTAATTGATTAGTTTTAAAAAAATTGATTAGTAAAAAACTAAAAGACACATTTAAAGGTCACTAAGTGCATCTCCAAGTGAAAATGGGCCTCTTTAAATGTTTTTCTTAAAAGATGGCTTTCAGAGAATCTACAGATCCTTCAGTAAACTCCCCCTAACAATGAATGACTACTAAGAATATATCAAAATATTTCACACAGGTATCTATTGAGTACCTGTTATATTCTAGGCACTATGGAATAAGTAGATTTTTTTAATTTTTATTTTTAGTTATACATGACAGTAGAATGTATTTTGACAGAATATACATACATAAAGTATAGCTTATTTAGGTTCCCACTCTTATGGTCATACACGATGTGGAGTTACCCTGGTGGTTTATATAAATACAAGGCTAGGAAAGCTATGTCCAATTAATCTGTCTTTCCTATTCTCATCCCCCTCCTTTCTCTTCATTTCCCTTTCTCCACTCCAGTGGATTTCTATTATTCCCATCCCCAACTTCCATTGTTTTGGGTTAGCATTCACAAATCAGTCAGAATGTTTAGCCTTTGTTTTTTGTGAATTGGCTTATTTCACTTAGTATGATATTCTTCATTCCCATCTATTCACTGGCAAATCCACAATTTCATTCTTCTTTATGGCTGAGTAATATTCTATTGTGTATATATACCACATTTTCTTTATTCATTCATCCATTGAATGACACTTAGGATGTTTCTGTAGTTTGGCTATTGTGAATTGAGCTGCTATAAACATGGATGTGGTTGTATCACTGTAGTACACCAATTTTAAGATCTTTGGGTATAGACCAAGGGAGTGAGATAACTGGGTCAAATAGTGGTTCTATTCCAAGTTTCCTAAGGAGCCTCAATACTGCTTTCCATAGTGGTTGTACCAGTTTGCAGTTCCACCAGCAGTGTATAAGAGTACCTTTTGCCCCACATCATTGCCCACATTTACTGTTATTTGTTTTCTTTATAACTGCCATTTCAGCTGGAATGAGATGGAATCTCAGTGTAGTTTTAATTTGCATTTCTCAAATTACTAGAGATGTTGAACATTTTTTATATTCTTTTGACCATATTTCTTCCACTGTGAAATATTTGTTCAGTTCCTTTGCCCATTTATTGATTGGGTTATTTATTTTTCTGGTGTTAGGTTTTTTTGAGTTCTTTGTATATCCTGGAAATTAATGCCTTATCTGAGTTACTGGTGTCGAAGATTTTCTCCCACTCTGTACGATCTCTGTACACGTTCTTGATTGTTTCCTTTGCTGTGAAGAAGCTTTTCAGTTTAATACCATCCCATTTATTGATTCTTGATTTTATTTCTTGTGCTTTAGGATTCTTGTTGAGAAATTTGGTTCCCAAGCTGACATGTTGGAGAGTTGGACCTACTTTTTCTTCTAGTAAGTGCAGGGTCTCTGGTCTAATGCTTAGGTCTTTGATCCAGTTACAGTTAAGTTTGTACAGGGTGAGATATAGGGGTTCAATGTCACTTTATTACATACAGATTTCCAGTTTTCCCAGCACCATTTATTGAAGAGGCTATCTTTTCTCCACTGTATGTTTATGGTGCCTTTGTCTAAGAAGAGATAACTGTATTTTTGTGGGTGTGTCTCTGTGTCTTCTATTCTGTTTCATTGGTCTTCATGTCTGTTTTCACACTAAGGATTGCTTTGGCTATTCTGAGAGTATTTTTCCAAATGAATTTCATAATTGCTTTTTTATTTCCGTGAATAACATCATTGGGATCTTTATAGGAATTACATTAAATCTTTATAGCGCTTTGGTAGTATGGCCATTTTGATAATATTGATTCTTCCTGAGATAGGTGTTTTTAAAACCAACCAAATAACAAATTTAAAAACAAAAAACTCTTCAAAAAATAAATAATTAAAACATAAGGAAAGATA